TTGTTGTAAAACATACTGCCTAGCGTAATCTTTGTGGCTTATTCAAATGCAAAACTCAGGGCAGTCTTGTGTGATTTTGGTCACCATGACCTTGAAAAGGTAAAACCACGTCACTGACCTCGAATGCGCTTGTGACCTTTTGCTTAGAAACAGTTACCTAGGTTCTTGGGGCACTTCGAAGACCAACATGGAATTTGACCCTGCTTGACCTTATTTGACATTAATTTAATGATCTAAGAAGCTAAAATTCTGACCTAAGTGAGTTTCCGTAAGGTTCAACATACCCTGTAAATTTGGTGTCTCTAGCTTTCATAATTCCCTAGATCTCAGGGGGGCAAATTGTCCCCCCACACGAGCAAATGGTATATAGTCGGCCACCCGGGCGTGTGTGAAGGAAAAACAAGTTATGCGCGTGGTATGGGAAAGGTTAAGCTATGTTTTGCGTGCTGAGTCCATACCCACCCCATGCTTCTTAAATAAACGACGCTCTGCCTGAAGTCTTGCCGAGCCCCACGCCCACCCCATAGTGCTTTGGAAGACGCCATTCTGCCTGAAGCCTTGCTGAGCCGCATGCCCACCCCATAGTGCTCTGGAAGACGCCGCCCTGCCTGAAGCCTTGCTGAGCTCCATACCCACCCCATAATGCTTTGGAAGGCGCCGCCCTGCCCGAACTTGACGGCGACAACACTCGGGCACCTCCGCTGTTGTCGGCTGCCATGGAGCATCACATTTATTGCCCCGTTGATCTTGTCTCCGAAGTACATTTCATCTCATTTTCATAGCTGAAGAGGATGAAAACTGTCCGTACTGATGAAGTTGTTAATTCTCACAAAATCAGCAGCAGCACGAAAGCGCAGCAAAGTTAAACCGTTTACTAGATTTGATGGCGGTGTGGCGTGATCAAAAAGGCTTTAGGTGCTAGACCCTAGCACAAGGCCCTAGCACAAGACCCTAGCACATCCCTAGCGTTTCTTGTTTATGTGCTGCTGAGTGTCTTCACAGATGCAAAGACGAAGCAAGAACGGACTCAACATCAAACACTGGGGGAGGAGGCAGCTTTCACACAATTCACCAATGCCCTGAAGGCCAAAGCTCGAACAGATGATGTGTTTTTGCTTTTTTTGCAGTCTTGCACGGAATGGCCCAGACATCGCCTTCGGTCTGACCCGGGTCATGGCTTGCAGCTGATCAGCTACTCGGATGAAATCAATTAATTCAAGCAGGAAAATCATGAAATGATGTATTGGCAGTCTTAAATTGGACAATTCCAGTGGTATGTGTTCATGGGGTGCTGATGAGCTTCAAGTCTTGAACTGGTGTGGAAAAATCAGCTCGTTTTTTGCATATCACTACATTAAGTACAATGGTCATACTTCTCCCTACCGGGACGCAAAGGCGGCAGCGGAATGATGCCTCCCAGCAATAAGCACTGTCTCCTGTGAGGGGCTCATGCATCACATAAAAGCCCCGTAAAAATGCGATATTCTGCTATAATGATGACAACCGACACTGAGCTGGTGCCGGCATTACCGTACTGCTGCAGGAGCGGTGTTCTTGGGAGCGATAGATAGTACTCGTGCCAGCAAGCACTCTGCTGGTACCACGATGCGTTGACTTGCATCGAGTATATTCAAAACTGATACCAGATGGCTGGTTTTATACATATTCTACGTGCTTTAGGTCGGTACCCTCACAGCCTGCTTGCACTGGTGCCAATTCCCGCAGAGTATACGATGTGAACTGCGGTTCCCTACATTTTATGAGCTTCGGTGGTCAAAAAGTGGTCTGTATTCTCACCTTCCTCTCCCCATCGCAACGCAGTTAACGTTCTCACTCGTCTGATATAAACACGAGTCCGTAGCGGGGGTCTGGTGGGCTTCGAAGTCGTCTCTCACAGTGCCGGCTCGATCGGATTGGGGTCGCGAGGCGCGGCCCACGGCGATGTCGAGGCTGGCCTATGGTAAGACTCGTAAAAGTAGGGAGAGTCCCCGGAACGAAGCCTGCATACATAATGGTGCGCGCAGATTCATGAGGACGTTAACGCATGATAGCGTCCCATGTGTTACGAGGCGTCCTCGTTCGTTACGCAGTCTTGTGAGCAATAATGGTAAGACGCTTGCCCGTCGGTTATGCCGCACGGCATAGCTGTGGATGCCTGACTTGGCATACTTCGAGCAATACTGCACAGCACACCAGTGTGTTCCTTCTCAAATTCTAAAAGGTATAAAAGGTAACAAAATTCACTTTGTTCCAGCTGACATGCCCTTTTCAGATGGGTTTAGGTATTGAGCTTTATGTCTTGTGGTGAACCACACAACATGATTAGCAGCCATTAAGAATCCTGACCTTGGGACGTTGCTGGGAACACTTGACGTAAAACATTTTACAAAGGCACTGTAACAGATTGAATAATGTCATACTTGTCCAATTAATATGCCAACATTTTTGCACATTGTGAACAGCAGAACACTCAATGACAATAGCATGGTGCACGCATGCCCCGGAGCATCAGCTCTTGTCAATGATTAAAGGGCCGGGGCTAGGGCCCGACGAGCTATTTTTAGGTCGTCCTTATTCCTATATTAGGTCGTATTAACCCTCTCCCCATTTTTAACGGAATTAGCCCACTTTGTTCTGCTGAAAGGCAATTCGTTTTGTAAATTTTGTATCTTTGTATTGTATCTTTAAAAACATTCTTAAATATAAGTAGCTTAACAGTTCTGTAGGAGTGGATCCAGGCGGGAATCTTTTTTGTGCTCGTCTGTAGCAGATTTATGACTGTTAGCGTGATAGTTAATACAAGTGGAGACCTCGCTGGTGCCAGGATTTCTCTCGAGTACTAAAGAGAGGTCTTGTCAAACAGGTCTTCTATTTTCTGTACACTGAAACGCGCCGACACTCACACCACAATCTTCACACGCACCGACACTCACACCACAACCTTCACATTCACCGACACTCACACCACAACCTTCACAGACACCGACACTCACACCACAACCCGCACACACACCGACACTCACACCACAACCCTCACACACACCGACACTCACACCACAACCTTCACACGCACCGACACTCACGCCACAACCTTCACACACACCGACACTCACGCCACAACCTTCACACACACCGACACTCACGCCACAACCTTCACACGCACCGACACTCACGCCACAACCTTCACACACACCGACACTCACACCACAACCTTCACACACACCGACACTCACACCACAACCTTCACACACACCGACACTCACACCACAACCTTCACACTCACCGACACTCACGCCACAACCTTCACACACACCGACACTCACACCACAACCCTCACACACACCGACACTCACACCACAACCTTCACACGCACCGACACTCACGCCACAACCTTCACACGCACCGACACTCACGCCACAACCTTCACACACACCGACACTCACGCCACAACCTTCACACACACCGACACTCACACCACAACCTTCACACGCACCGACACTCACGCCACAACCTTCACACACACCGACACTCACGCCACAACCTTCACACACACCGACACTCACACCACAACCTTCACACACACGACCGACAGCGATTTCACGTCTTCGAGCCCGGAGAAAACAGGACACGGTCAACAATGGTACAGTTTATATACAGCACGCGTAGGCACTGATCCATGGTCGTATGGTACAGATATGACGTGATGTTAACCAATGAGAAACGAGTGCGATGTCGCCCGATGGTCGCCTAAACCAATTAAAAAGTAGGGTATCGCCTTGCGATCCCAGAGCTGATTGATGCGAGTGGCAGGTGGTGAGACGCTCGCTGAAGGCGACTTTTTAGGGGAAGTATCGGATAGCGTTTCGGAAGCCAGGCAGACCTCAGGCTCCGAGGGCGCGATTGGAATGCGGTCAGTGTACGTGTCTGAGCTAGAACAAAGGCGCCTTATGGCTGATGCAATCTCATGTCAGCCGACAGCCGACGACGGCCGGTAGAGGGCTTAAGATAAGAATGCTTGATTGTGAAAACGAGATTTTGTCACACCGTCAGTACATTTGACGAACTCAAAAAGTCAACTTATCAGGTGGTTTACCCCCATGTCTAGCGTTATCCATCCATTGCGGACAAAATATTGAGGTTGCGGCTTTAAGTTACTAGCGGCACCCGCCATGGCGACGTCGCTACCAGGAAGGATAAAAGAAGATCGTCTTTGTGCAATCATCAGGATTTTCCTTTTTGTAATATTCCAGCGCGAACCATTGGAATGCGGGTCCAAAATGAATATCGGGGGATGACAACTCAACATTGGTTAGGGAGGCAGGACCCTCACAAAACGATGCAAATCGACACCCGTGCGCATGCCCCTACAAGAACACTATACATCAAGATAAAAAGTCATACAAGGCAACCCCGGGAGATACAGAGGCAGTGTATTAAAAGCAATTATCCTCGGCTAACCTAATAAGGTGAAAGCTGTCGTCGTTTATATCCATGGAAAGCTTCAGTTCGTTAATGTAAATCGTTTGTCCGAAAATAAAGCTTAAGCCGCTTGCTAATATCTTACCTGCATGCTACACGGCTATGGTCGAAAAAAGCTTTCATGGACCGGAACGGTGCGCTTTCCGCTGTTAATATTTTTCGATACGACATTGTAATATGTGGGTTCTCTGGGTTTTTTCCGTGCATTACGAATACAACGAAATGGTTCATCTCGCACAAGCGTTCTCTCCCGCATATTTGCCACCTATCGCACCAAACGGTCTCCTGACTTGAGTATACAGCCGGACAAAGGAAGCTCAACAGCAATAATTCTTATTTTATGATGATGCCTTCAAATGCACTGAAACTACGCATAGCTTGAACTGTATAATTTCCTTCGATTAAGCAACTACCTTTGGAACTCGTACGATATTCTGGTGTCTCGTCTATTACGAGAGGTCTTGTTTGTAGGCGATTGCACGTATATTTCTGATCTCATGATGCATTTCTTGGCATTTCAGGATGGTCTGTCTCCAGAAATATGCTCCGAACTTGTTAAAGATCTTCACTCCGCCAACGGAAAAGGCAAGTTCATTATGGCACGTGTCGATTTCAGCTGCTGGTCTAAAAACAGCTTAAATAGCATGGTGTTCGTGACCGCGGTCTCGGCCGCTCGTCCGTGCTTACATTGGCTCTCCCAACATGACCGCAACACCAAAAGAGACCGGGTGTGCTATGGCTGCCCTGCCTTTCATGAACTTTACCTTCGATTCATGGTGGGAAAGAATGTGCTTGAAAACGAGGCTTGGTCCAGCAGCTGTTTTAGATGGTCTGGCACTGCTGTCTCCCAGACACCCCTGCGTGCAATAAAATAGCGACTTAACAACCGTTTAAACAACCGTTTAACACTAACACCCGCCAAACAACCATCTAACAACCATATAACGGCGCTTTATAGCTGTGTCTTACAACGTCCAAAAACAGCATCTTAAAGCGTCTAACAACCGCGTTCGCAGCGTCTAACAACGGTGCTCAATAGCTATATTGAGTTTAATAGTATAGTGTTTAACAGACGTGCATAGCAGCGCCTTACCGCTGCAACTAACATCAGGCTCGTCTTGTTTACTTGTGATCTGCAGCGTAAAATGACCACTGCTCGCGACGCGCCTCTGAAACTCAAAGATTACCATCAACATCGTCACTAGCACCGGCCTCGCCGTGGCTCTTCTGACGAGGTGCTCGCACGCGGCGGCAGGTGGCCAGATCTTCGCCAAGCGCAAGAAGCGGTCAGAGAAGTGGGTGGTGGACGAGGAACACCCCGAGCAGAGCCGGCCCGGAGAGCGGCCGACCACCCGGCGTCCGACACCGCCGGTCGTGTACGTGCCGCCCGCCAGAGCACTGGGCTGCGCCGGCCCCGAGAGGCGCCCAATAAGCCCCGACCTTAGCAGCCTGTCTCGACCAGGCCTCCTGGTGTCAGTCCTGTCGCCGCCCCTGGTCCCGTTCGGCTCAGTCCTATTCGCCGCCTTGGTTTCCTGCGTCAGTGTAGTCCCGGTCTCGGTACAGTTCCAGTAAGGCCCCAGGGTCCAGTTCAGCTTTGTCCAGATCCCAATCCCAAACCCAATTCAGTCTTTTGGGGGCTCAAATCCCAGTCACAGCTGTTCCCATCCCAACACGAGCTTATGAGCCTTTCCATCTTCCCATTGTTTTATCACCTACGTAGTTGTCGTGGCCGTTGGCGCTGAAACGTCATCTGTGACTAACAGGTGACTCAGTGACTCATTCCTCAGATCCTCGCATAGGACTCCTCCCCGAGATCCTCGTATTTGACTCAGTAGCTCCTCGCAGAGCTCCTTGCATATGACTCAGTGACTCGTATGTGACTCCAGAGATTCTCGTATGTGACCCAGCGATTCTTCCCTAATGCCTGCTGTGTGTATCGTGTTGTTCCTTCTCTGGGCGTTGACGTGTGTGGCTCCGCCCGCGGGCCCGCGCATGCGCCCCAGTGCCGTCTTCTCCGAGGCACGCCACGGTGGCTCCTATCGTCAGGCTCCTGTTCTCCGCGTGATTCCGGTCCTGTGTGAAACACGACCCCACCCCACCCCCCACCCCCCGCCCGCCGTGCCGTTCCCGTGTAGCCCAGCGCCTGCTCCTGCCATCTTCGCCGTAAGTGACCTGCAGCGGCTCCCTCCTGGGGTCCTCATGTGTGACCTGAAGCGGCTCCTCCCTGAGGCCACTGTGTGTGATCTGCGTCGGCTCCTCCCTGAAGTCCCTAAGCGTGACCTGCGGCGGCTCCCCCCTGAGGTCACTGTGTGTGTGACCTGCGGCGGCTCCCCCCTGACGTCACTGTGTGTGACCTGCGGCGGCTCCCCCCTGACGTCACTGTGTGTGACCTGCAGCGGCTCCTCCCTGATGTCACTGTGTGTGACCCGCGTCGGCTCCTCCCTGACGTCACTGTGTGTGACCTGCGTCGGCTCCTCCCTGACGTCACTGTGTGTGACCCGCGTCGGCTCCTCCCTGATGTCACTGTGTGTGACCTGTTGGCTCCGTCCCAGGTCGCCGGCGCCGGTGAAGCCAGTCCTGCTGGAGGAGCTGTGCCAGTCGCCGCAGCCGCCGCGGTTCCCCACCGACGGCGTGTACAGCCCGCGCGCCGCCCGAGGCTGGGGCGTTCCCGACGCAGGTCAGAGGGGTCCGGCAGTGCAGGGGCTAAGCTGCGCGTCTGGGAAAGCCAGAGGTGCGAGGTTCGATTTCCCAGCGGTGTCCGCCTTTCCTGCCAGGGGACATGCAGCTGGCTCCTGTATTCTCAGCACTGACCGTGCTGTAAAGCCCCAGTTAACAGCAACAGCTCAGCCCAGATGACCCCATGAGCTCCATCGTTTCTTCCAATGGCCGAATCCAAGCCTCTTTCCAGGCCAGGCTTTCCGACAGCCGACGTCGCTTTGTCTGATTTGTGTACAGTTGCGACTGGCTCTGCTTGCGGGGCGTACCAGTGTTGTGACGGAAGAAGGGGAAAAACGTCCTGTCACTCCTCCCACTTAATAGCGATCATTCAATGGGATGCAGAGATGGGAACGCCGACCATGGGACGATTAAACGAATAAAGTTATGTGACCTATGTGCAAACCATACGCGATCCACTTGTATCTCCGGCTGAAATTTCCACTGTGCTCGGCCACATCCATCGGGGTTAGCGCCAGGCGATACATGACAACACATCTCAGTGGTCGCAAGGATATCTGCATCCGATGTACGTCAGCTGTCATGAACTGCGGGGCTGTCCTATGAAAGATGAAATTTTGGTGTTTTGAATTTTTACTTTATGTTTGATTTGAAAAAAAATGAATTTTTTGAAATTTCTGGACAGATGTGCGTGGGCATTTGTCCGAGCGGCTTTCGTGCTAAATTCCTTGGGCAGTTCGTGATACATGCCCGCTGATCACCACGTGAAAGTGTCAATGGCTCGAGGCGCATAAGTCGCATAACTTTTCATCGCACTGGGTTCTGAGTCGGAACTTGCCTCTCGCTTCATCCGGACGCCTGTTGTTACTGTCTGTTGTTACTGTCTGTTGTTACTGCCCGTTGTTACTGCCCGTTGTTACTGCCTGTTGCTTCTGTCCATTGTTACTGCCTGTTGTTACTGTTTGTTGTTACGGTCTGTTATTACTGCCTGTTGTTACGCCGAGTTTGAGCTTTGAAGTCGGTCTGAATTGGGATGGTTTTGGAGAGAAACGAATCTGTGCGGTGTTTCACAGTCGAATGGCCTGCCTCAATACCCCTAGTTTCGACACTTTGGCCACTAGTTTGCTATCAGTTTGAATGCTAATTTGAAGGGCTGTCGGCAGCGGCGGCGGCGCGCGCCATTGCATGGTGGGATGGCTTTCCTGAAGACCGCTAACGATGTCCGGGCCTCAGGTGCCTCGCGAGGCTTTTCCGGCGAACGGCTGCAAACATAACTCTACCACGAATGTTAAACACCGCGATCATAACAAGCATCTAATGCGCACGGCTAGCGATGTAGCGAGGAAAACGATACAAGCCTTATAGGGCATGGTATTACTGTATCCGGTTGTTTGTGCAGGTTTAACAGCCTATCTGAGTTAACGGGCTCCCGACGCCTCTGGCGGGTCTTCAGCTCAGAAAGCCCATTGGTACAACGGTATCAGAGTCTCAGCCTTCTCTGCGCAAATCGGCAAAATATTGTCTCATCTGTAAGGCTTTTATTGGTAGTCGGCTGCGCAACGTAGAGCTGATCTGAAGGTTTGCAGTGCTCCCAAACAAACTGCATCAAGTGTGCACCGCTTCTCCAAACTGTTAGACACATAAGTACCATTGAAACGAACGTGATTTAAATGTGATGGACCAAAGCTTGACTGAACACTGACGCCAGCGTGGCTAAGGCATGCAGGGGCAGCATGCTGCCGGCTTCTAAGTGTGACCTTCCGAGCGGCTGCCGTTGGTGGTCACTTCCTCACCGTGCGCGGTCGGCGTCAAACAGCTGCTGGGGTGCCGATGTCCAGACAATGTCTGGGGCTGCTGGGGTGCCGAGGTCCAAACAATGCTTGGGGATGATGGGGTGCCGATGTCCAGACAATGTCTGGGGCTGCTGGGGTGCCGAGGTCCAGACAATGTTGGGGATGATGGGATGCCGAGGTCCTGATAATGCTGGGGCTGCGGGGTGCCGAGGTCCAGACAATGCTTGGGGATGATGGGGTGCCGAGGTCCAGACAATGTCTGGGGCTGCTGGGGTGCCGAGGTCCAGACAATGCTTGGGGATGATGGGGTGCCGAGGTCCAGACAATGCTTGGGGCTGCTGGGGTGCCGAGGTCCAGACAATGCTTGGGGCTGCTGGGGTGCCGAGGTCCAGACAATGCTTGGGGATGATGGGGTGCCGAGGTCCAGATAATGTCTGGGGCTGCTGGAGCGCCGAAGGCCAGACGATGCCTGGGGCTGATGGAGTGCCGAGGTCCAGACAATGCTTGGGGCTGCTGGGGTGCCGAGGTCCAGACAATGCTTGGGGATGATGGGGTGCCGAGGTCCAGACAATGCTTGGGGATGATGGGGTGCCGAGGTCCAGACAATGCTTGGGGCTGCTGGGGTGCCGAGGTCCAGACAATGCTTGGGGATGATGGGGTGCCGAGGTCCAGATAATGTCTGGGGCTGCTGGAGCGCCGAAGGCCAGACGATGCCTGGGGCTGATGGAGTGCCGAGGGTCAGACGATGCCTGGGGCGCCTCCCCCTCCCCCCCCCCCATCGCTTCTTTCACGCCGGTGGTCATCACTAGAAAACAACAGAAATCGCCTGAGCAGCCGTAAACAAACCGACCTTAACCGCTCAAAAGGAAGAGCATGAATGCCCATGCGTCAATGCTCATACTCAGGGATCTGACCTCTTGACGACTCGCTACCGTCAGGCACACCCCTGAGTTTGGCGCAACCGCACCCCTGGGGTCACAATATCTCTCGTGACCCCCTGACCGCGCTCCTGGGGTCACAACATTTCTTGTGACCTCCTGATCGCGCCCCTAGGGTCGCACGACCCCACGATCCCTGGCCGCGCTCCGAGCCCCGCACGGCTCTGTGACCCCTGACCGCGCCCCCGGGGTCACGCGACCCCGTGGTACCCTGGCCGCGCTCCGAGCCCGCACGGCTCTGTGACCCCTGACTCCGCCCCTGGGGTCACACGGCGCCGCCCGTTCGACCGTGACAGGCTGAGCGGACCCACACCGTCGCGCTGTCTGCCTGACTGACTGGCCCCTGCTCACCGCTTGGCGTTATGAGCGAGTCGCACCAGCCGGCGCAGCACCGGCGCAGGGGTGTGCTCAGGATTTCCTGACGAGGAGGCTCCGTAAATTTGTCGACAAAACTCACGTGATATGCTGCGACTTTCCCGAAAGTATATGTGATGTACGTGTGGCAGTTGAGAAAGCAGCAGCACGTACCCGTGAGGCGCGTTTAGGTACGGCCCTGCCCACGCTCGCTCCGTCGCCGGTGCACCGAGGGAGCAGAGGCCGGCCGGACCGATCCGGCACCTGATGTCTCCTCGCATCGTCTCTTGGGACGTGTACTAATGACGGAAATGGGAGGCTCTTCACGGCTTCGGTGAAATGCTATACAAACGGCATTTCTGGAGCCTCGTGCATTAAGCAACTAGGCTGAGCACTAAGCGGAGGACTTCTGATGTCCTGGAAATAAGTCAAAACAAGGTTGGCCATCTGTGAAATGAATTCTGTGTCGAAGGGAAGACTGCCTGCGAAGCACCGCGCTACAAACGTAATAATTGTTCGGATTTTCGTCTTCAGCAATGGCACCGCTGACGCCCAGTTTCGGTTCGTGACCGCCTCGGGCGCCGACCGGCAAACGTTCGAACATGCGCGACCGTACGCCAGGCATGGTTAGGTCCTTGTCTGGAGCAAATAACCCGGGATGACCACGTGGAGAAGTGGAATAACCAACACCCGACGACTGCGTAGAGGAGTGGGGTAACTAGCATCTAACGGCCGTTGACGACCGCATGGGGAAGTGACCACACAAAACGCTGTGTGAACAATGAAACAGTTGGCGGAGATAGTAGTCTGAATAATTAGTTCACCAGCACTTAGACATCCCCCAAACATTCCGTACAGCTACGTCATAATACAAATACAGCTAAGCAAAAGGGGGTCACTCGCAGCAGCGGCAAGCAAACGGCCGTAAACGAGAAACTGTGATGAGGACGTGTGCCGCCTGAACTCCTCAATATGCATAATGTTGCGCGCATGATGACCGTAGATATCAACACACGATGTCTGGCTATAGGGATCAACAGCTCTAAAAACGACGTCCGGAATTTCTTTTTGGACATGACAGAATTAAGTCTTCGCAGCACGCCGAGCTTTCGCAGTGTCTTCCTCTTAAGTGAGATTGTGTGCAGTTCACTCACAAGAAATTGTTTGGCAATTTTTGTTTTGTAATTTGTAGCTCTGTGAGCTCTGAAGGAGCCCAGATCATTGTTTGAATGTCTACCAGCTAATGTTTTATTTCCGTCCTGGCTCAATACCTCTCTGCCAGCCATCCATACTGGCCGGCCATCGCTCCATGCTGGCCGTGCCGCGAGGCTTGAGCCCAGAGTCCCAAGTTTATCTGGAACAGTGTTTACATGCCTTAAAGTAACCTTAAACAATCAACAACGAATGACTGCATTGTAACATTCTTGGTTTTATTTCATTGATGCTGTTTTTACGTTATCTACTTCATGTTTTGGTTTTACTGCTACCTTTGGTAGGATTTTTCCGTCATTCTCATGTTTTCCTTTGTATCTCGCTTTTATTTTACCTTATTACTGCACCGGATCGGTAACTGGGCTCCGACTAATGCCCGGATAGCTGACGTCATCAGTAGTTGAACGAGCACGGGTAGCTGACGTCATCAGTAGTTACACGAGCACGGGTAGCTGACGTCATCAGTAGTTATACGAGCACGGGTAGTTGACGTCATCAGCAGTTGTACGAGCACGGGTGGCTGACGTCATCAGTAGTTGCACGAGCACGGGTAGCTGACGTCATCAGTAGTTTTACGAGCACGGGTAGCTGACGTCATCAGTAGTTATACCAGCACGGGTGGCTGACGTCATCAGTAGTTGCACGAGCACGGGTAGCTGACGTCATCAGTAGCTGCACGAGCACGGGTAGCTGACGTCATCAGTAGCTGCACGAGCAGAAGCAGCGGCACCCCGCTTGACCTCAGTCCCTAGCCCCAAACACCAGATTTAAGGGAGGCGACCGGGCCGTGGCCACTCCTTAAGTCTGTGCAAGATGTAGCTATTTGTGCAATCTTGATTGATGTTAGTGCAGTTGTCTCGAGATCCGAAGTTCTGACGTCTTAAATGGACTGAAACCTCTCGAGATTTGTCGATGGATCCAGCCCTGCTTCCATTGGCTCGCTGGCTTCAGGCACAGCATTACAAACTGAGGCGGAAATAACGTGATCGGCGAAACAAAGGGGCACGAGGCGCAGTGTCCCAAGAAAAGCGTCAAAATGGGCTAACGTCCTGCTATTCAGTCCTATTCCGTCCTGCTATTCCGTCCTGCTAACGTCCTGCTATTCCGTCCTGCTATTCCGTCCTGCTGGGCCATTCTGTTTCCGTCATTACCCCCTTGCTGCTGCGGGATAGGTGTATGGGTATGTTCGTCATTGGCGATAAAGAGCGCTGGGTATGTTCGGCGTTGGCGATGAGATCCGAACACCTGGTCCCGCTACAGGGCGCAGAGGTCCACAGATGCGTGCCTGCCGGGCTCAGAAAATAAAATGCTCTTGATGGGTGAGATAGCCTGGAGTCGCCGTGTCACTTTGTTAGGCTGAGGCTTCTTCGACCGGGCTGAACACCAGGGGCATCTGTTGCGCCACGCTCGCCAACGCTCGCATACGTCTTAGAACAGTCGCGAAAGCGGAATACCATGAGCAAGCTCACTCGCAGCTGGCCATGCAGTGTGCAGTCGTGTTGAGCACGATGCGTTCATTCCGTTCAAAGTTGCTTAAGTTGCTTAGTGCATTAGCGAAGGACATTATTCACAGAGATGAGGCAATAGTATTAGCCTTATTCCTCGAAGACAAACTAGGAAAATAGAGATGTAGAGATATAAAGATATGTCACCATCCTCATTGGTTTTTCTCCGAGGAACAAAGCTAATACTACGGTCTTATCTACGATGTTTTTTCTCATTCCGTTGTCATGCTATGGTGCGCACAATGCTGTGAGTAAATGACTGTTGGCGCAAACATCTGATGCTCTCGTTAACATGTGACTTTTTTAACTGATATTTTTACACTGGCTCCTTTATGTCCCACATTTTATTCTCGCCTGTCTCTGCCCGCTCGACAGCCGACACGACTACTCGACTATCTCTGTTGGCTCGACAGCCGACTGAACTACCCGACTGTCTCTGCCGGCTCGACAGCCGACTAGACTACTCAACTGTCTCTGCCGGCTCGACAGCGGACTCGACTATTCGACTGTCTCTGCCGGCTTGACAGCCGACTCGACTACTCGAGTGTCCCTGCGGGCTCGACAGCCGACTCGACTACCTGACAGTCTCTGCCGGCTCGAAAGCCGACTCGACTACCTGACTGTCTCTGCCGGCTCGACAGTCGACTCGACCACTCGACTGTCTCTGCCGGCTCGACAGTCGACTCGACTTTCCAACGTCCGCATGTATCCTTTGTTCCGGTATCCGTGACGTGGGCGCCGGGTCAGTGATGACAGGACGAGCTCCAAGGCGCGTGATCCACAGCTCATCCTCGGGACGTGGATCCCACTAACCTCAGCCGACGCCCTGCATTCCAGCATGCTCTAGCACACGTGGGGTGTGTTGGTTACCGCAGGGGCTAGGATAGGTCACGTGGCTTTGCTCTGTCGACAGCCCCGGTGTTCCCGGCGCCTGTCAACGACGTTCCGGATACAGTGCCCGACATCGCGCCGACGGCGCCGCTCAGCCGCCAGCCGCCACCCACGTGTACACTCTCTGACAGTGTGCAGGGTAAGATGAACCGTCATTGCGGAGGACAGAGGTGTGGTTTCGCATTTATATGGGACTTTGGACAGAAATAGTTATCTTGAATACCTTTTGGCGCAGTTCACAGCCCTGCCTTTCTCAAGACCCAAACCCGTCTGATTTCTGAGCTGCAGGCCCGCGAAAATGGGGATACTATTTCAGAAAAAGTGTGTCAAGGTCACCTTGGCATTCATGATGTCATGATAACGTCACTCAAACCCTTCCGTTCCCTAAGCCAAGCGGCGAACAAGGCCGATAGAAATATGATTGTCAAGTCGTTCATATCTGGCGTTCGTAAGCATGATTTTAAAATGTGACGGCCATCGATTGGCTCTCGAAGAGCATTTTGCGAGATACGATGACGTAATAAAACAGTGACGTGTGTAGGAGCATCTTAACTTAACAGAAAAATTATGATGTCTAGAGCAGTTTTTTCATTTAAAAGTATACAAATGGTTACAAGTAAGCTTATTTCGTCATGTACGATGTTTGGTTCAGTGCCTTGAAATGTAGAACAGACCTTCTAACTGAATGCGCTGTTGTATATCCGGCATGCTTGATATATTCCTATGTCCTTCCTGTGTTGCATCCTAGTCGTACCGTACATCATCGCCATCACGGTGTCAGCTTCATGCCGTCTGGATTGTACCGGTGCTGTGTTATGAGCGATCTTCTGTCAGCGTTGCGTCGGCTGTAGTCGCCACCTTGCAGCGTTGCCACTGTGCGGGGCCGAACAGTGCTGTTTCAGTGGTGGGTCGTTAGTTCGTTATTGTTGGTGTTGCTCGAACCAATTCGGCTTTATTGATGTTCTTTTGCTGGCGTTACCTCGTTGGTTTCTGGCTCGTGCTGATGGCGAAACTTCTGTTATCTGGCATGCATTTTAACTTTTGGTAAAAACACATCTCGGGATCTTACATCATGCTTTCAGGAAGTCCTTCACGGTTAGCTCAGCGGCAAAATGCTGAATTCGAAATCAGGTGGCCTCGGTTAAAATTCAAGCAATGATAATTTTGTGTTGTGACGAGCACATGAAACCCGAGTTGAAGCCAAACACCATTTAGTCTTTTTTGGGGCTCAATAAAATCCCACGACCGCTGGAGGAGTAATTAGTCAAAACATTGTGTACATCGTAACACGCTGTACGAGGACGATAGCACGAACGACATTTTACCGAAGCTCGATTTTAAAAGCTCAATATTACCGTAATTGTCTCAAATGGCATAGCCCCACTACAGCGCAGAGTTTTGCGCAGATCGTTGTTCCAGATAAACTTTCCAGCAATCTGCTTTCGAAAGTAAAGTGGAGCAATCTGCATGCAATCCTCTACGGCTTGCAGCAAATTACAACTTACTTCCGAGGACATCTTCCAGGGACAAAATGACATTTTCCAAGAACTAAAGAGCATTTTCCAAGTACAAGTATATGACGCATCTGTGCGCCACATAGCTTTTCAAATAGCCGCTCACAGCATCTGGAATCAGCATCTTTTGAATTTGCATGCTTTCATAATGCAAATTATGGGGTAGTGCCATTGTATTAGTGTTAGTGCACTCGTAAAGATTTCATTGGCTTCGAAGTACACATGAATTGCCATCAACATAAAATACGGTACGGTGTTTGACAATACATTATGGAAGGCCATTTATTGTAAAAAGCTACGACTGTGACCAGGTTGTGCATCACAAAACCAGGCCCTCTGGTGAGTAATATAAATGAAGTGCCGGCCGACAGGTCAGCGGTCGGGTCAGTCCGGTCAGATTGCGCGTGAAACACGCAAAGCCCTAGTGATACAGCAGTTTACATGAGTGCACACCGTTCCAGTACAATTCCTTCGTAGAGTGATGAATATCGGAGCAGGATGTACTGCTACCAGCCGGGTATCCAGTATTGTCACAGCATCGTTGCAATGTCAGCAGTGTCTTGATCATACAAGATCTTGTAGCATGGCGTCAATACGACTAACGCTGTGTTTTCAACCAATCCCATTTGTGAGGCTCGTGTCGTCATCATTGCTCTCTCAGCGCTTTGATGTCATTGTTATGGTATCAGTAACTTGTTGTCATTATTGTGTTGTTAGCAGCATGCCGTCAGCGCCTGTCGATGCCAGTCAGTCAATGCCAGTCAGTCAATGCCAGTCAGTCAATATCAGTCAGTGCCGTCCTGACCGTGCCGCATCACTCTCGTACCCCAGAGCTAAACGCTATGGAGAGTAGAACATCCTGTATTTAACGCTGTCTCTACAGAGAGCATCAGGGCGATGGAGGAGAAGCGACGCCAGAGAGCTGCCAACTACAACACGGCCCCGCGCGGCTGGACCGACCACGGCATCTACTACAGGCCCGTCACGTTCACACAGGCCGTGGCGTAATCATGACGTCACAGGCGGGAGCGGCTATGGTGAGCCCAGCACGCGAACCCCGATCGTGACATAATCATGACGTCATTGGTGAGCGCGACTGTGGTGACCCTGACACGCGCGCCTCGACCGTGACGTAATCACACGTCACTGGCGCTCCAGGCAGTCACAAGGTCTACACCCAGCTCGCTGTATTTACTCAGACCGTGACACGATTGAAAACGTGGCATAATGCTTACGTCATTGGTAGCTGGGCCGGGCTAAATGTGCACTGCTGGTCCCGTGCCCTCACATAAGCCGTGGCATCGCCAGAAGTCAAAACAAGACCTGTGGCTGCTGGCTCATCACTGTTTTACGCCCAGTGACGTAAGATTGACGTCATTAGTTTTATTGGCGCATGTGGCACAGACTGGCCCGTGTGTTGGGGCTGGAGTCCTCCGGTGTGGTGTTCTATGCTCTTTGTCACGGCCCGCAGCCACTTGTGGCCTTGACAGCCCGTCACTGTGACATCTGTGCGGGACGTGAACCGTGACGTCATTTGTGGCGGCTGCGTGCCGACAGCGGGCAATGAAACGATCGCGTTTGCCGTGGCTGATGACGTTTCGTTTGCATATGGATCCACGCCATTGGTGATGGAAACTCAGAGCGTAACACTGAACCCTGTCGGCCTGTGTACATCTCTCTGTCTCGATATCGGAGAGCACTAGATAAATCATTTTTGCATCTTGCTTGTCCTGCACTCACCCTACATCTACGCGGCGATGATAATTCTCGTTTATTTTGTTTATTGGTCTATCGGAAGAAGTTGAAGAGTGATTGCTGTTTTGAAAACTCCGGTATGTTTTCATGCGCGTTTAGTGACTGTGTTCTGCTACGTACGGCTTGGGTGCTTTTGTCGTACGCGGTGGAAACGAATACAACCAATAAAACACGAGAACGAAGCACTGTTCTGTTCTGAACGGCCTCAATCATGCTGACGTCAGGCATCGAGAAAGAATATCACCGCACCACAGCGCGCTGCGCAGGCTGCACTTACACCACCATGAGTGGCCAGTCCAGAGGCGCGTCTCACGCAGGGGCTGCACTTACACCACCATGAGTGGCCAGTCCAGAGGCGCGTCTCACGCAGGCTTGGGCGAATT